CAAGTCCACTGTATTTCGGGTAGTCCATGAGTACTGTTTAATTCCTGTTGCCACTTGGACCCAAGACTTCTTTGAAGAGATTTTACCTTCAGGCTTTAGCAAGGCAGCGGTCCATTATCTACAGGGAAGCTCTTATAAGGACAACATTTAATTGGGGTTCACTTACAGATTCAGAGGTTCAGTCCATCATCATCAAGGTGGGAACATGGCAGCGTCCAGGCAGGCATGGTGCAGGAGGAGCTGAGAGTTCTACATCTTTATCTGAAGGCTGCTAGCAGAATACTGACTTCCAGGCAGCTAGGATGAGAAACTTATAATGCACACCCACAGTAACACACCTACTCCAACACGACCATCCCTTCTAAAAGTGCCACTCCCTGGGCCAAGCATATACAAACCATGACACCCCTTAAAAGATTTCTTTACAAAGAAGATTAGTCTTTTCTGGGAATCATTTCTACTAGAGATTCATAATCTGAATAGTCCTTCAGTGACTGTATCAGGTCATCCAGAAGACAGTCTCCTTGCAGGGAGCTCTCAAGGTCATGTAGTGATTTGTTTATTCTGTGATCTGGGTGTGACCTGTTCTGTGGAAAGTTGTATGTTCTTATTTTCTCTGATCTTCCTTTAGTTCCAACCTGGATCTTGTAGAGATATATTTTTTATATAGACTAGGAAAGTTCTTGTGCAAGTCCATTGTGTGCAAATCCATTGTGTGCAAATCTTTACCCAGTATTCTCTTGAGGTATGTAAGTTAACCGTTTCTTGAACAATTCTCTATAAAATATTAGACACACACACACAAAAGATTTCTTAAATTTAAATCTTAAGGATCTGGAGAGATGGTTCAGTGGCTAAGACCACTGGCTGTTCTTCCAGGGGACCCAGGTTCAATTCCCACCACCCACATGGCAGCTCACACCTGTCTGTAGCTCCAGTTCCAGAGAATCTGGCACTTTTACAGACACACATGCAGGCAAAACACCAACGCACATAAACAAAACACCAATGCACACAAACAAAACACCAACGCACACAAACAAAACACCAACGCACACAAACAAAACACCAACGCACACAAACAAAACACCAATGCACACAAACATAAATCTTTAAAAACAATTTTAATTTTTGAGAAAGTTTTGTTTTTTTCCTGGACATGTGTGTTTTTCATGTGTGTCTGTGCACCGAATGCATGCCTGGTACCCATAGGAAGCAGAACAGACATCAGGTCCCCTGCAACTATCATTACATAGAGTCCTGTATGTAACTCATACACAGGAGCCGCCATGCGAGTTCTGGGAATCACACCTGTGTCCTCTGGAAGAGGAGTCAGTGCTCTTAACTGCTAAGCCATCTCTCCAGCCAGCATTTAGAATAAGACTAATATAAAGCTGGGCATTGGTGGTGCACGCCTTTAATCCCTGCACTTGGGAGGCAGAGGCAGGTGGATCTCTGAGTTCAAGGCCAGCCTGGTCTACAGAGTGAATTCTAGGGCAGCCAGGGCTACACAGAGAAACCCTGTCTTAACTTCCAGCCAAAGACTTTAAGCATGATGTTTAAGAAAGAGACTTCCCCTCTCCCCACCCCTCAACATTTGGGTGCCAACTTCTGTGGAGTGGGGTTCTGAGTCTTCACAATGGTCGTAGAATGTGGGTGCATTCTGCCAAGGACCAGCCTCAGCTTGGACAGGGGCTCTGAGGAAAGAGTATCTGGAAGCAGCAAAAACAAACTACTTGAAGTCAAATTGTGGGTCCAAGTTGTCAGCCTATGCTCTGCTCCAGCCTGCTTTCCAGTTGTGGAGAATCGAGACTGAGGACAGAGGCAAGGAGGAAGCCTTAGACTCAGAGGAAAGGTGATAATAGCTTATTTATTCATAAGTAGTAATAAACAAATAAATAGCGAAATGGGGTAGCATTCATTCACACACACTTCACTTAACCTCCAGTCTGGCCCTATGTGGTAGCCTGGCTCGATGGCAGCGTGTCAGGTAAGGTTTGTGAAATGTCCTTCTGCTTTCAAGTCTGGCTGGAGCTCAGTCTGAGGTGCATTCACACATTACTTCATTGAGTGTTTACCTTATTACACTTACACACACACACACACACACACACACACACACACACACACGCATGCTCAGTTTCCATGGTTATCTCTTAGCCAATCACAATTAAGGCATTCACACATTACTTCAACAGGCGTTTATCTCAATTCAACTTTATCACACACACATACACTCTTAGGCTTGGTTTCCATGGTTATATTCATCCATGATATCATTTTACATTTTGTTTTCTCTGATCTGCTATTTCTGGAGCTCTCCAGACAGCTCTCTCTCATGTTCTGCTCAAGACAGTTCTCTTTTGCTATTCTAAAATTTTTCTCTGAGTAGTTCATGTCTTGTGGATCTGCCTGCCTCTGTTAGCACAGATGATAAGCTAACTGGGTGGGAGCCCACCCTGAAATTACCTTTTCTGCCACACCTGGGCCTAACTTTGTTCTATTCCAGGCTGACCCTGAACTCAGGAATCTATCTGCGTTTGTAAGCATAAACAAAACAATTTAGCTGGGTGGGATCTCCTTCAATTATCACTCCCTAAATTTCTTTTGTCTATTTGTTTAGTATCTTTCTGACAAGCCGGCTCACAGCTGTCCCTGTTCCTTTAGCTTCTTGAAGCCCCTCTCCTAGTTCATATTGCATCCTTATATTTTGTGAGAAATATATATATATATATATATATACATATATATGTGAGAAATTATATATTTTTGAACTCATGTTTTTAGAGTTCTTTCCCACAGCCGTAAGGGCTGTCCTGAAGGTCCCAGGTTGCGACATTTTGCTGAGACATTAGCCAAACCCTAATCTCCTGGACTTGTATTGTCTTTGTCATGGAGTCATTAACATTAACAGGGAGGACATTCCTTGAAGGAGGAGCATAAAATATGTACATTAAATACATATGTATGTCAAATGAGCCCTATGACAGCAGCCCTTGACACTCCTGTAGGCCCACGCCCACTAGCCCTGTCCCAGGGGCAGGAATCATGTCATTCTGTCCCCACCAAGGCCATGGCAGGTTCGAAGCTCCTATCTTCAAAAGAGTTTCTGAGAACCCAAGTGAATTCACAGGAGAATCCTGGAGAGTTGACATGAAAAAAAAACTGAAACAAAACAAAACAAAACAAACCCCTGGCTCCTGCCATTGTTACTCTAACATAAAATATGTATGTATGGAAGAGGGGCTGGTAAGGGGCTCAGAGTGGAATGGTGCTGTCTGCCAAGCTGACTGATCTGAGGTGATCCTTGGGACACACAAGGTGAAAGGCAGAAAAGGACACAAGTTGTCATCTGATCACATGTGTATCATAGCATGCACATATCACATCCTAAAGAAATAAATGTACTAAAAAAATCTGTGTAAGAAATGTACCAACTGTATCATCAGCTAGCAAGAGGCTAGGGACTCTGAGATGTAGCTGAGATGAAAGGTCCTCTTTCCTTCCCATCCACAAGTGTTCCAGGTCTAAAACAGCTTCTGTACCACCTCCCAGAGTCTCCTCGGCAATGACCAAGCTTCCAGCCCGTGAGCCCTGGGGATACACTTCTCAGTCTCCAAAACAAAATGAGTGCCGAAGGGCCACAGTTTGGTCCAAACAGACCGATGCTCGTTTGTGCACAACTATTTACCTCCAAGGTAGTTATGGTTGAGTGTGTGGGACTGGGTCTCTCAGCAGGGTGCACTAGCTCTGTAGTGTAGGCAGCCAACAAAGGGGTGTTGTGACACTAGGCTTCCAGTTACTCAGATATATTTATTTTGGCAACTCCAGTCCTAGGGACAGCGTCTACTGCCTTTCTCAGGGCCTAACTGCAGGATTTGATGAGTTAGACTATGCGAAAATGCTTGGTGGCACCTGCCTCTCATCCCAGTAGGCAAGAATCTAAGTCAAAAAGACCATTAGCCTGGACTTGGGCTACTTAGCCAGACCCTGACTCAAAGAAAAAGCAACGCTTTGATAGCTTTGGGCACATAAGCCCAAGTTACCCATGTTCACTGGTACAATTGGATGTTCAATGAATGCTAGGTCTGAGAGCGCCTTCTCACTTGTGTCCCTGAGTTTGAACCCTTCCTTTTACATAACTTTTCATTCTGTTTATTGTCAGTGTCATCCCATCAAAATAAAAGCTTTATGAAGATCCCACATTTAGAAAAGCGAGACGGGGGTGGGGAGTTGGGAGCTTAGCCACTGGAGCACACACACCCATCATCCCAGCACTAGGGAGGTGGAGCCAGGAGAATCAGGTGTTGGAGACCAGCTTCCACTGTGCAGTGAGTGTATTGCAGAGGACCCAAGATCCGTCCCCCGCTCAATTAGGCGGCTCACAGCCACTGGTCACTCTGGCTCCAGCGCGATCCAGCGCTCTCTTCGGGCCTCCCTGTGCATTGCATGCACACGCACAGACAACAATCTTAAAAAAAAAAAAAAGGGGGGGGGTCCAGTTTGTGGACCATGAAAGAGCAGGCGCAAGGCCGGAGTCTGCTGCTCCCCTTAGACGGTCAACGCCTCCAGTCTAGCGGGATCACCCTAACTCCGCAAAACACACGCTGCACGGACCTGCCCCACCAGCCGGCCCTCGCGCACCTCCTTAGAGCCAACCCTTCCCCGGAGCCGCGCGCCTCCCGCCAGGCCCCGCCCTCCTTCACAGCTATTGGCTAGCATTCTACACAAGGGCCTGCCCCTTCACCCCTGACGGGCACCATGAAAGCCAATGGGAAAATCGCCCGCCTTCCCCGAGGCCGTTGGAGGCGGGCATGGGCGGGCCGTTGGGGGGGGCGGGGCGTGCAGCCTGGTAACCGTTGCCGGGCGCAACGCCCCGCCCCGCGAGGGCTGCGCGAGTCTGAGGCGGGCGGGCGCCTGCTGCGGGCGGGTGCTGCGGGCGGGCGGGAGGGCGGCGGGAGCTGGAGGAGGAGCGGCCGGCGCCGCCACCGCCGCCGCCATAGAGACTGTAGCCGTGGAGACTGTTACTTACCAACGCGGAGCGACACGCAGCGGCCGACGCCGCGGGAGCCGCTACCCGAACTCCCTGCCGAACTCCAGGTGAGCGGTGCCGGCCCGGGCAGGGGGCGGTGGCGGGGGGTGGGGGGACCCCGCTGGGGGGGGGGGGGGGGGGGCGGGGGCAGGCGCGGCGGGGCCCGGCGCCCCAACTTTGCAGACGCCAACCTTCTGATCGGCGTGTCTGATTTGGGGGAGCCCTGGGCTGGGTAGAACCCCTCTCCCACTCTGAAAAGTTTGTGAAGTGAAGCGATCTCTTCTCGCCTTTGACGCACTAAATCTGACTTTGAGAGGCGGGGACTCCAGAAGACCCCCTTGTCTCTTACTTTTACCCTGCAATGCCTGGTGCACGGAGGCGCCCCCAAACTAGTCCTCTCTTTCATCACCTCCAAAACCTGAATTCGGGATTGCCCCAAACCCCAAAAGCCAGCGCTTGGGGCTTCCCCAAGCCCGCTTCTCACTGCCATCCCTCCAAAACCTGAGTTGGGGGCTCCCACAGAGCCAGCCATTCTCCCCAAGTCTGAAAATCCAGGGACACTGTCTCCCCTTTATACTTCTGAAATCGGGGTTCTGGCGGGTATCCATGAACTTGACTCCGAGGGTACTCTTCTGCTTGGCTCATAGTTCTGCCCTCAGGTTTCCTTCTTGACTTAGGCACAGTGGATTTGGGGGCTCCGATACCCCTTTCTTGTGCTTTGACCAAAATAGTCGTTGCGTTTGTTCTGGAAGGAACTTTTCCCCTCGCGTTTTCTTGACCACCCCAAATTCCTCCGGCGCCCCAGATCCTCAGATCCCTGTCCCCTGGAACCCTACACCGCTGCGTTTGGGGGGTCCTTTCCTACGCCGTGCCGGGAAACTCATGGGCACCCACAGCTTCCTCTTCGCCAAGATCTGCAATCTAGAAAACTTTCCTGAAGGAAAATATTGTGTGAACCGTTTGTAGAAAGATCCAGGAGGCCTGGAGAGTGCGTGGCAGCCGTCCTGTGCGCAGGCAGCACACCCTTAACACCTCGCCCCTGTCCTTGGGCCGCATCCGCGTCGAGATTCGCTGGGGCTGGCGGTAGTTTCCTCAGCCCCTAGGGAGTCAGCGTCCAGACGGGCCCCTAGGGTGGTGGCAGGGGGTTGGGGGCGGGAACGCTGTCTCTCCTGAGACTTCACCCCTCATTTAGCGCGTCTGGGGAACACTCCTGGTATCTTGTCCTCGAGGAAAAAATCCTACAACGATTGAGTGTAAAATAATCTTAACTTTATTAGCATGTGTTACTTGTACATAAGTGTGACCTTTCCCTGTATAATGTGTTCTGATCATACCTCACCACTCTCCTCTTTTGTCCCTGATGACCCCTACTCATCCAGCCCCCTGGCCTGCCTCTACTGTTTTCCCCATCTTTCCTTGAAGGGAACAAAGTTCACTTGGGGCCACAGCACAGAACAATGGTACCCTCCTCAGAAGTGGTGTCAGGTACCTGTGGGTCCTCGGGAATCAGATGATTATTTACTTATTGTCAAGTGATTCACTTTTCTATTTAAATTTTTACATGACTTTATTGTGTGTGACCACACTGCATGTACACACTAAGGTTAGAGGACAGATTACAGAAGACCCCCCTCCAGCACTTGAGTCCTGGGAGCTCAGTAGGCTTGGTGGTAAGAGCCCTTACCTGACCTGCTGAGCCATCTCCATGGCAGTGAAAGGAACTTTGAATTTAAAGTGAAACGAAGACAGTTCTAGAGCAGTGATAATATAATAAAATAATAATGACATAAAACTTCTCTTAAAATGTTTTCCTGTTTGAATTTTAACACCTTTGCCTGAGCCTGTGAAGGGTGCTTGTTTGATGGACTGAGTTCTGAGTCCCTGCTCTTCCTCACTGTAACTTGGGTTCAGGGACTGAATGGACTGGGAAATCCACCCAAGTGTGGGCACTCACCCACTGCCACTGGAGAAGGAGAACTCAGACCTCAGAGAAAGGAATCTAAGGCTTACCATCAGGCTACTGCCTGTCTGGTGAGTCGCTGGGGATACCTGAGCCCCAGGGCCACTACAGGGCTATAAAGGACTTGTCACCACACTGGCCCTCTAAAATACAGCCTATCATTCTCTTGCTGCAAGAAGTATCCCTGGCACTTTAGACTGTATTAGTAGTGGTATTTTTAAAATCTTTATTACTTGTATGTGTGTGTGTGTGTGCGCGTGCACACACGCGTGTGTGAACATCTGCATGGACTATGGTTTGGACGTCACAGGACAAGGTGCAGGAGTTGGCTCCTTGCTTCAGGTATGTCTTAAAGATGAAACACAGCTTGCCAGGCTTGGCAGCAAGCTCCTTTCTCCTGCTGAGCCCCTCAGCCTTCCCATTGATGATATAAATATTCATGTATATTTTACATATATAAGTATATATAGGTATGTTCATATAAAACTAATAAGTTCATGTATAAACTAAAGGTTGCTTGGTTTGTTAAGTCCTTGGCTAGAAGGAATCACATGTTTTGCTTTTTTTTTCTTTATTTTCCTATTTATTTATTGAGGTGCTTGACTTTGCATATATCCCAGCCCTGTTTTTTTGTTATATTGGTTTTTTGGTTTTTTTTTTTTTTTTTTTTTTTTTGAGATAGGGCATCATTATATAGACCTGGTTGTCCTAGGCCTTGCTCTGTAGACCAGGCTGGCCTCAAACTCAGAGATCCACCTGCCTCTGCCTCCCACGTGCGACCTGTTTCTTTTAAACTGACTGAAACTGATTTTAAATAATGCAGCGCCTCCCCTGTGTGCTTGTAACTATGGATGCTTGTTGAAAATGAGGTGAGCTGTCTGGAGGATGCGGTCCTCGGCAAACTGCAGGAGTGAGCATGCAGCTTCCCATCCTGTCTTTGGAGCTTTGGGGCTGAGATGATTCCAGCTATAGTTCCTACCTGGGTTCTGAATACTGCAGAGAAGTGGAGAGCAGTGATGAGGTGGCGGTGGGGGCACGGAGCTCTAGTATTTGAGGCTTCCGAGACAGCAGTGTTGTTGGAAGGACGGAGGGTTTATGTGCTGCCTAAGCCTTTACTGGATCCTTTACTGGAATTTCAGGATGTGTAGGATGGCTCAGCCCACTTTTGTCTAGCATTAGTAGGTAGGTGTAGGGATGGACGGATGGACGGATGGATGGATGGATGGATGGATGGATGGATGGATGGATGGACAGACAGACGAGCAGATGGATGGGTGCCTGGATGGATGGATGAGGGAATGAGTGGATGAATGGGTAGAAGGATGGGTAGGTGTTGTATTAAATTTTTAATCTCATATGGGAGTTTCTACCCCACCTTTGAACATTCAGTTCCCAGATAAGATACAAACCTTTTGTATTTATAATAAGCCTTAAAGCACTAGAGCTGGGCCGATATCTACCCTCCATGCTATTATGTCCGCCTCCCCATCAATAAGCCCAAGTTATAACTTGCCATGTTCTATCTGGGCTGCTCTTGACTCCAATTGGCCAGCCCTCATGGCCATGTTTTCATGACTCACCTACCCCATGGCGGTGGTGTCTTCTCTCTCTCTTCTCTCCCTTGTGGTCTCTGCCTCAGACCCTAAGCCTGGGAACTAAAACTTACCTACATTTCTTCTGCCCAGCCACAGGCTGTAAACAACTTTATTCAACCAATAGTTTTAAATTAAGGAGTATGGTTACATAAATGTACATCACTTGGTGTGTGAGATGATCTCCTCAACCCTGAGGCAACCAGGGCCAGAATTTAGCATTACAATACATTGCAACAGACCAAACTTCAACTGGTGGGTGGATGGGTAGGTGGATGGATAGGTTGATGAACTGAAGATGGATGGTTGGGTGGATGGATGGGTGGATGGATGGATGGATGGATGGGTGGGTGGATGGATGGATGGATGGATGGATGGGTGGGTGGGTGGATGGATGGATGGATGGATGGATGGGTGGGTGGATGGATGGATGGATGGATGGATGGGTGGGTGGGTGGATGGATGGATGGATGGATGGGTGGGTGGATAGGTTGATGAACTGAAGATGGATGGATGGGTGACATGTGGGTTGGAAGGCGGAGATGAACTGGACCACCTGCATGACTCATGTTCTTCAATCATTCAATGACATTCTGTTTGTTGCTTAAGACTAGGTCTCACATATTTCTGAACTTGAACCATGATCCTCCTCCCCAACTGCTGCTATGCTGATAGGTGGTCAGGTAGGCATTGCTTCTAAAGGAGAAGTCATTTAAGGAGATACTCCTCTCTGTTCTGACAAGGGTGCTCTAAGATGGAAAAGTGTAGTAGGTGCAGGCGATAGCCCTGCCCAGCTCCCAGGCCTTTGTACTGGGCTTCACCACCCAAGAAGCATTTCAAGTACTGATGGCTGCTCTGGATAGATTGTTCCTGAAACCTGAAACCTGAGGTAGCCATGTCTGGCTCCCCCAAGTCCATTCGTCTCACTTCCTTTCCTTCCTTTCTTTCTTTCTTTCTCTCTCTCTCTCTCTCTCTCTCTCTCTCTCTCTCTTTCTTTCTTTCTTTTTTCTGAGACAGGGTTTCTCTGTGTATCCCTGGCTGTCCTGGAACTCACTCTGTAGACCAGGCTGGCCTCAAACTCAGAAATCCGCCTGCCTCTGCCTCCCAAGTATTGGGATTAAAGGTGTGCGCCACCACCGCCCGGCCAAGTCTCATATTCTTCCATTAGTGAGCTTCAACCAGGCACTCTGATTGTGAGGCCCTCCAGCTGACGTAGGGGTCATTAGCAGTATCCACAACACCACATCTCTCCAGATGCCATTTGCCCATAGTGGGCAATAACAGTGTTTAACACTCTTCTGTGTCTGGGGTTCTCTCTGTCCAGTACCCTATGCACTGAGTGTGCATAGTGTCTGTTATGTTTCAGTGCTGGGGACTGATGAGGACCTCACACATGCCAGGCAGGTGCCTGCTACTGAGCAATGACCCCAGCTTATAAAAAAAAAGCCACCCAATTTTCAACCTAACCACTGATGGTGAACATCCATTTGCTCTGGGTATTATGGTGACCAGGAGT